GAACCCGGTTCACCAGATTACGAGTCCACCGCTCTTAACCACTACACCACACTGGCTTGCAGTGTCCACCAACCTCTGAGGGAAGTTATTATTCCCAGTACCATGTTCTCGAAGCTACAAACATGAGTCTGACCAAACTGTGGGAGGCAGTGGAAGACAGGAGTGCCTGGCGTGCTCTGGTCCAGGGGGTCACGAAGAGTCGGACACGACTAAACGACTAAACAACAACAATCATGTTTCCCACCGTCTGTACTATTGTCTCCCCACACTAAGGATTCGACCTTAGATTGTTGGCCCTTGTTACCTCCAGTTACTTCAGAGATCTCCAGCAACAGCCCTCTAGAGCAGGCATCCCCAACCTTCGGCCCACCAGATGTTTTGGACTACAATTCCCATCATCCCTGACCACCGGTCCTGTTAGCTAGGGATCATGGGAGTTGTAGTCCCAAAACATCTGGAGGGCCGCAGGTTGGGGTGCCTGCTCTAGAGCATGGGTAGGCAAACTAAAGCCCAGGGACCGGATCCGGCCCAATCGCCTTCTAAATCCAGCCATGGACGATCCAGGAATCAGCTTGTTTTTACATGAGTAGAATGTGTGCTTTTATCTAAACTGCATCTCTGGGTTATTTGTGGAGGATAGGAATTCGTTCATTCCCCACAAAATATAGTCCGGCCCCCCACAAGGTCTGAGGGATGGTGGACCAGCCCCCTGCTGAAAAAATTTGCTGACCGCTGCTCTTGAGTCAGTCTCGTCATGGTTGAAAGTTCAGTTGGACCACAGATCCCATGTACCTACGGGACCGCCTCTTTGCTGGTATGCCCCACGGAGGACCTTAAGGTCCACAAATGACAACACTTTGGAGGTCCCAGGTCGCAAGGTGGTTAGATTGGTCTCAACTAGGCCAGGGCCTTTTCAGCAGTGGCCCCGATCTGGTGGATACGCTCTGTCACAAGAGACTAGGGCCCTGCGGGACTTGACATCTTTCCGCAGGGCCTGTGAGACAGAGCTGTTCCGCCTGGCCTTTGGTTTGGACACAGTCTGACCCTTATGTTTCCCTCCCCTTATGGTCTTGATCTATGGGCCTTACAACAGCTCTAAGGCTCTGAGCCCATCATATCTGCGGACGGAAGAACAGAGGCATAGGAGGCCAGCTTTGCTAAGTCCTCCTTGTAAGTCTGCGCTGCAGAGACGAGATTCGAATTGGGGACTCTCCGCTAGCTGTTGCGCAATACAAGCTTTAAACGCAGAGGAAACCAGAGTCCCAATGGTGGCTCCATTGACCTGCTGTTGCGGCCGTCAAATGCAAAACAAACAAACAAACAAAGCCCTTTCAAGAAAACAAAATGTTTTCTTAAAGACAGTCTGGCCTGAGCCTGTGACATTAACGCTCCTTTGAAAAGGCCACCCAGATAACTATTCAAACACAGATCAACTCAGCACCCCACAACAATATGTGACCTTTTGAAGATCAACAATGACTTGTTTCCACCTCCTTCATTGCACCTCAGCACAGCGCATTGTTGTGTTCCTCAAATACCAGGACGGCATGGCATGAATAGTCATGCCCTCAGATGCAATGCAAGGAGAAATATATTCTTCTTTTTTATATTATGTTATGTACGAGGTGCTACCGGATGGGGGCAATGCTGGCGCCGCCACTGCGAGCAGCTACAGCGACGATTCCAGGGAGAAAACCAGGAGGAGGAAAGGGCAGAGGAGTCCCAAGGGAATAGTGGGGCAGTGAGGCCCATAGAACAGGAGGGGCCAGCAGGGGAGGCAGAATCAGTAAATACAGAGAGGACCCGCGAGGCTGAAAGGAACCAGGACCACGACTGAGCGAGCCGGTTGCGCCAGACCAAACAGCCCCATCACAGCCAGCATCCTTAGAACATGAGCCAGAACCTGAACCCTGGACCAGGGAACACCCCAGGCCGCAACACACACGTAGGCCGCCGGCGTACCTTGAGGACTATGAATGCGACCTCCCGGGCAGGACTGGAACTTAGGGGGAGGGGTGTTATGTACAGTGGTACCTCGCAAGACAAATGCCTCGCAAGACAAAAAACTCGCTAGACGAAAGGAGCAACTCATACCACTCATAGAAGTGGTAGCCTTTTTGAGGTTTTAAAGACTTTGGTGATTTTTGAATCTTTTCCAAAACTTTCCTGACACCGTGCTTCGCAAGACGAAAAAATCGCAAGACGACAAAACTCGCGGAACGAATTAATGTCGTCTTGCGAGGCACCACTGTACTGAGTTGAATAGGATCCAAAAGGCAGCAGTCTGATTGGTCCTAGAACAATAGGATCCAAAATGCAGCAGTCTGATTGGTCCTAGAACAATAGGATTCAGAATGCAGCAGTATGATTGGTCCTAGAACAATGCAGCAGTATGATTGGTCGGCAGGAGCCACCCAATCCAGCTCCAGGTGGAAGTGAATCTGCAACCTGATTGGCCCACGGAAGAATCCCGGAATTAGCCAATCACGTGGGGCCCATTGTGTAAATAATGTATATAAAGCAGATATTTTGGGGGAACTTCCATTCCTCCTCACTACTCTGAGCTGAATAAAGAGCATGAAATCCACACTCGACTCCGAGTATATTTCATATACCATAGACTTTATCCAGGCCCATCTACTTGTGAATTAAAGCCAGCTTTAAAATAAAGAGTTATCGTAGAACGATAGAACTGCAATGCAGGAATCTCAGCTAAAGCATCCATGACAGATGGCCATCCAAACTCTGCTTGGAAACCCCCAAGGAAGGAGAGACCACCACCTCCCGAGGGAGACCGTTCCACTGTAGGCATCAGAAAGTTCTTCCTGGTGTTTTAATAGGAATCTCGTTTCTTGTAATTTGAAGCCATGGGGTTCGAGTCCTGCCCTCTGGAGCAGCAGAAAGCAAGCTTGCTCCATCTTCTATTTGACAGACCTTAGATATTTGAAGATGGCTCTCATATCACCTCTCAGTCTCCTCTCCAGGCTAAACATACCCAACTCCCAAAACTGAGAGGGTGCTGGAATATGAACATTATGTTGTTGCTTTGTTCCACATCTTTAAATCTCTTTCAGCTTCTGCCTTCTGGAAGAAGGTACAGGGTTATAAATATAAATATAATAATAATATTTATTATTTGTACCCCGCCCATCTGGATGGGTTTTCCCCAGCCACTCTGGGTGGCTTCCACAAAGACCAAAAATACACTAAGATGTCACACATTAAAAACTTCCCTAAACAGGGCTTGCCTTAAGATGTCTTCTGAATGTCAGGTAGTTGTTTATCTCTTTGACATCTGATGGGAGGGTGTTCCACAGGACGGGTGCCACTACTGAGAAGGCCCTCTGCCTGGTTCCCTGTAGCTTCGCTTCTCGCAATGAGGGAACCCGCCAGAAGGCCCTCCGGTGCTGGACCTCCAGTGTCCGGGCCAGAACGATGGGGGTGGAGACGCTCCTTCAGGCATACTGGGCCGAGGCTGTTTAGGGCTTTCAAGGTCAGCAACCAACACTTTGAATTGTGCTCCAGAAACGTCCTGGAAGCCAGTGTAGGTCTTTCAAGACTGGTGTTATGTGATCTCGGCGGCCACTCCCAGTCTCCAGTTTAGCTGCCGCATTCTGGATTAGTTGTAGTTTCCGGGTCACCTTCCAAGGTAGCCCCACGTAGAGCGCATTGCAGTAGTCTAAGCAAGAGATAACCAGAGCATGCACCACTCTGGGGAGACCAGTCTGCGGGCAGGAAGGGTCTCATCCTGCGTACCAGGTGGAGCTGGTAGACAGCTGCCCTGGACACAGAATTGACCTGTTCCTCCATGGACAGCTGTGAGTCCAAAATGACTCCCAGGCTGCGCACCTGGTCCTTCAGGGGCAGCAGTTACCCCATTCAGGACCAGGGAGTCCCCCACAGCAGCCACCCCCTGTCCCCAAGAACAGTACTTCTGTCTTGTCAGGATTCAAACCTCTATCCATTAGCCGCCATCCATCCTCCAACCGCCTCCAGGCACTCACACAGGACCTTCACCACCTTCACTGGTTCTGATTTGAAAGAGAGGTAGAGCTGGGTATCATCTGCATATTGATGGACACCCAGTCCAAATCCCTAGACTAGCACCAGCCGCCTGAGAAACAGTTTCTATCCAAATGCGATTTTGGTTTTAAACGCAGTGTAAGGTAGTCTCTATGGGAGTAAATTGTATTTAATTATGGGTATCAGAGTTTTTAGGGGGTTAACCAGGCTGGGATAGCAGGCTTGTTGGTTTCTGAATGTCTGATGTAGGTTTTTTCAATTTTGTTGTTCTGTATGGGACAATGACAATAAAGATTATCGTATCATATCATAGATCTATCTATCTATACAGATAGATCATATCTAGGCAGATTTATGCCTTATCGATAAGATCATAGCACTGAAGAATAACTCTAGGCAGGAGTTATTACATTTAAATATATATTTATCTATCTCTGTCCCAAAGGATCCCAATGTACATTACAGGGTGCGGATGGGGGAAAGGTGCAATTTTTGGCCAGGAAAATATTCTGAGCCAGCAACCAGCAGCAGAAACGACACAGACCCACAGAGAATAGATTGACTTTATGCGATGGATTATCAACACACGCGTTCAGTGGAGACAGAGAGAGAGAGGAAACACCCGACCCATCCAAAAAGACTTTTTAAAACATCTTCTTAAAAAAGGGAGGCCGAAAATGGCACCCCGCCTCTTGCGACTGTCCGTCAAAGGCTGCCCGGGTGCTCTCTTCCGCATGACGGGGAAATCGAGTCAAGCACAAAGGAGGGGAAGGAAGACGAAGGGGCCTTGGGGGTGTGTGTGTGGGACTGTAAGGGGAAGCATCCTGCATCCCTCTTGCTTGGAAGGTGGTCCAAAGGGGGTGCCCTCCCCCATGGGCTCCTGGAGGCAGCAAGATCGCGATCCACTTGGTCCCAGGTGATGGTTCGAAGCTGCAGTCGCATCCTGGCATGCAGTCGGGACCCCTCAGTAGACGCACAGGTCCGGGAACTTCATCTCGTAGACCGGATGGAGTGGCTCTGAGGCTGGCCGTACGCGGCCGTGATGGTCCCCGAGGGGCTGGGAGGAGGTCTGCGGTCAAGAGAAGAGGACTTTGAGACACAGCTGGCCCATGTCGTTCTGGAGAGTGTGTGTGTTGTTACGGAAATTATGGGGGGGCACATCTTTAAAGTTGTTAAATTTTACAAATATTATGCCTGAATGTATCCTTTCGACTTGACAGCTTGAGGAAGTTACCTAGCTTTAAAAATAATATAAAATCAACTCCTTTGCAAGTTTCCTCCATTCCAAAGCTATTTTGCCCTTGAAAAATAGGGACTCGAGGAAGTGCCCAGAGGTGACAATTGCTGAGCTGATTGTTGGCCAAGGAAAGGTCTTAGAACACGTTCATAAATATATAAACCACATGTCTGAAGCAGCACAGGAAAACAGCCATGAAGCCATATTGGCTCCTAAACTGACCAAATGTTTTCTCTGCAAAGTCAAAGGAAAATGGAAAAGCCTCCCCATTGTCTTTTCCTTCACAAATCCTGTCTTAAGGGCATATTTAATATATGAATAGGGTGAACCTGTGACCTGGCTCAGGAACTAAGTATTTATCATTACAAAAGACTGGCCAGGCTCCCCAGGGTATCCAATCAAGTGAGCATTAACAGGTAACCTGCCAGACAGGAGGTAAACAACGCACTCAGATTTCTGTTGTAGACCGCCCTTTCTGTGACGTAGGTATGATGTGTCTGGGGGTGGTCTCGGACTTCAGGACAGGCAATTTAAAATGTCTATATAAGGGCGGGCACACCTGGGTTCTGGGTCCTCCTTCTTTCCTGCGTGTGAAGGGGGCACCCTGTTGCAACAGTTTAATAAAGATCAGGCTTACTAGCTGCTTTGCTTCTCAATATTCTCTGGTTGGCCTCTGTTATTTTCTCCCATGTGCTGCCCCTGTTAGGATTCGTGTTTGCAGTCATGGGATTGTTGTCTATCACATGACAGTGTGGAAAGTGACCAAGACAGGATGGAGAACCTGCAAAGGACTCTATAAGGGCTCTTGTGTCCCCCCATAAGGGAATAAGGGCAGATTTCTGTTTATTACACTTGTGTTTATAATGCTTCTGAATCTAATTTTAAAAGAACCATCTTGCATTTGGCAACACACACGCCTGGTTTGGGGGCGGGTGTGTGTGTGTCAGGAATGCTTTCAAGAGACACTGAATCTGTTACCTGTCTCTCCCCCAATGCTGCTCCTTCCCGCTGGCCCCCCCAATATATCCCAGCTTTTACCCTCGCCAGCCCCTTCGTCAAACCACTGTTCTAAATCTATACTCTCCTCCTTTTCCCGGGAAGGTGTGTGTGTTGGGGGTGTGTGTGACTCCCACCATTCCTCCTCAGTTTAGCCACTGACAGCACGGTGGGGGGGAAAGTGTCACAAAAGAAAGGTGCTTTGCTCGAAGCAAACGGGAGAAGTTCTCGTGCGGGGAGAGGGGTTTCTCCCGTGCGCTGCCACCTGTTAGGATTCCTGCTCCGTGTTTGCAGTCATGGGATTGTTGTCTATCACATGACGGTGTATGTTTTCATTCCACAGTGTGGAAAGTGACTGAGACAGGATGTTTTGGTATTACTGTGTTCCATGCAGTGGGACTATCAGCTGTCAACTTTCAGATTTGAAAATTAGGGATCAGCAGCCTCAAAAATAAGGGATCAGCATCCTCACCTGTCCCGGGGACAGTCTACAGGATATCTAACAATCCAGGATAGCAGCGGGAAACGGCACTGGAATAAGAGAATTTCCCGCAAAAAAAGGGAAGGTTGACAGCTATGGACTATTGTCCTTTGTTCTTTCTCTCTTTGCTGTCTGATGAGAAAGAGGCAGGAGCTAAATCAGAAATGGTCCGAGTGTATTATATGTAAATAAACGTAGATTAACCAAAATGCTGTGCTACTGAGTTCTGTTTACACAAGCTGCGAAGACTCTGCGGATCCCTATGTCTGCTGGCATCGGTCGCTGTGATGTTCAGGCTGAAGAAAGCTAGAGGAGATTATTTTTTGCTAAGCTTGTTCCATCCTCCATGGGACAGCCCTCTAGATATCTGAAGATGACTATCTCAACCAGCGGCGTAGCGTGGGTTGTCAGCACCTGGGGCAAGGCAAGTAATTTGCGCCCCCTAACCCGTGGATTTGTGCCCCCTAACCCTACAAATCTATGCCTATGAATGATGGTTCCTCTCTCTCTCTCTCTTTCTCATATTCCAATTGATTCCCATTTCCGCCGATCGATCCCCGAAGCTCTCACCCAGCGAAATTCGTGCGTAATTACGCTTCGCCATCCCTAATCCTGCCGCTTCCACCGGGAAATCATGACGGTGCGTTTCTCCTCTCCAAACTTTCCCTGGCCCTTTGCCGGCCGGCGCAGCCCTTTTGGCTACGAGCTCCCCTCCTTCTCTGCCCGCTTCCGACCCCACCTCCCCGTCCAGCCTCCCTACCTCCTGAAAAAAGGTGCCGGCGCCGAGCAGGACACCCCCGCGGCCATCGGAGAGAGGCGGGGCCGAGGGAGGCAAGCCAATGGGCGAGGCGGGGGTAGGTGGCCACGGGGGCGGGCACTGCCGCAGTCCTCGGGTGGGAAAGGTAGGAGCAGGCGGAGGCTGGCCGGCCGCTCTGACAATAGGGGCGGGCCGAGGGCACGACGGGGCTGGGCCCTCTGGACTCGCACCAACCCCAGATGTTGCGCCCGGTGCGGCTGGCACCCCTGGCACCCCCCACGCTATACCACTGATCTCAACTCCTCTCAGTCCCCTCTTTTCCAGGGTCAACGTACCTAATGCCCTCACAACTGTTCCTTGTAAGGCTTGGTTTCCAGACCCTTGATCCTCTTGGTTGGCCTCCTCTGCTATTACCATTATTAAACTGTTAGGAGTCAGAAGGCTGATCTTCTGCAAATCTATGTCGTTTTCTTCTTCTCCTTTTTCTCTTGCTAAACAACATTGCTCCCCTGCCCACATCCCTGTTTGCAAATACAGTCATACCTCAGGTTACAGACGTTTTTTTTGGGTTATGGACCGCCGAAACCCGGAAGTACCGGAACGGGTTACTTCTGGGTTTTGGAGGTCGTGCATGCCCAGAAGCGCTAAATTGCGCTTTGTGCATGCACAGAAGCGCCGAATCACAACCCGCATGTGTGCAGACACGCTGCTGCGGCTTGCGAATTTGCATCCCGCATGGATCACGTTCACAACCCGAGTGTCCACTGTACTAAGACAGCATGCCTGTGAAAGGTAATCTTATGCCCAGTGTTGCAATTACCGTAATCAATAATTGTTCTTCTCTGAACATCAACGTAAAAACAACAAACTAAAATGGCCAAAGTGTACAAATGTTCAGCCTCCCGCAGGCAGGCATTAATTTAGCCATTCCATCTGTCCTTACCTTCATTTGCTGCCTGCCCAAGAAAAAATGTCATTTATTTTGCATAGCTGGTGCTGGGAGGAAAAAGTGTCTCTCGCTGCCAAGAATTTTCTTACCAAGTTGCATTATGACTTGGGGGCAGTTCTTCTACCAAGGAAACACTCTGTCACAGCTTGGACTTAGAAGCAGTTTTTGCAACCACAGCCGTGGTTGTCTGCAGAAATACTGTGTGGTGCTGAAGAGAAGCAATGGTGATCTATTGCATTGTACGGGATTATGCATTTCAGAACTAATGGCTAACAAATTTCTTTATTTCCCCATTTAGCAGTAACTGAGTAAGGCACTAGAAGGATGTACAGTAATTTTATCCTTGGGATAGATCTCCAGATTTTCACTATGGACACTCAGCGAACACAAGCCAGACCATTGATCTTTGCTCATTGTCAAGCATACCCATGTCTTCACTCTGCGCAAAGGGCTAAAGGATCGTTTTTCGTATGCATGTTGTAACTGCGAGGGGAAATACTGTAAGGATGGTCATCAAACGGTTTGGTGTGGTCCACTAGTTCAGTAAGGCTCATCTTTTCTAGATCACCTTGATGGAATGTCCCTCTGCCCACAATTCATACCAAGTAACAGATTCGCCTCCAAAGTTTTCAATTGGTCAAGTTCCTGAATGGAATTGACACGGGCTTGAAAGTCTATTTTCTTCAGTGTGGTATATCTGAGATGGATGTCGTTCGTTTTCATCACTGAAACCGGTCCTAGGTGAGACAATAAGTGAATCCAGGTAGATGGGCCACTGGGAGAACCCTTCTATGGCTTGGTTGGGTGGTTGACATGCTTTTCTGTGGCGTGTTTATTCTATGACTAGGTGCTTTAAGTTACACATCCTTTGTTAGTTGTAGGGCCCTTTTCTAGATGTGACATTGATTGTGGGTGGGGGGGGGGGGAGGGAGAGGGTAATAAAGATCTTCTCCCCCAAGCAAACCTTAAAACCAAGAAACCCTTAAAACAGCTTTTACCAAGCTGGTACTTTCCCAGATGTTCCCGTCCACAACTTCCACTGGTTCCAGCATCATACAGCTGTGCTGGCTGGGGATGACGGGAGTTGTAGTCCCAAACTTCTGGAGGGCATCAGCTTGGCCATGTCTGCCTTAAATGCTATGCATGTGTGAATGCATACACATAATATACCTGCCGCAGTTCATCACAATTGCCGTATTCAGCCAAGACACGCATTTCATATTGTTCTCATAAGCAAACAAATCTCCTTGGGCCAGGAGTTGGAGGAGGGGACTTTTAAGACATCAGTTGCTTTGGCAACATATGCCTTTTAGAAAACACACACACAAACCTATTCATTGGTTAAATATAGCAACTCTTTGCTTTGATCCGCTTGCAGATTTAGTTTTCTGTCAAAGGAAGTGAAATGTGAATGATGGTGGGAGGGGGATAAAGTAAACCTAGAATGGGCAAAAAGCTGGGATAATGCCTCTTGCGGAGAAAGATTTACTTCACACAGTGCCTCTGTGGAAATCTGCAACTTCCTCTGTTGAGTTGTTCAGCAGGAACGTCTCATCTTCATAGGGTGCTAACTAAGATGACCAGGTCTACATGTATGTATGTATGTATGTATGTATGTATGTATAAATAAGGGATTTGTGGCCAGGGAAAGAGGAAAATAATTGCTGGCAAAGGCACTGTAGTCGGCCAGCTGTAAACATCTGGATCACTGTTATATGGAAATCTTGTGGCCATTAAGGAAATAGGGTCATTGAAATTCAACTCAACGTTGATCCAGAGCAGAACTCCAACGTATAGTTAGCAGAGTAAAAACTTAAACACGTTATATGGTCTCGGCAGTCACTCCCAGTCGCCAGTTTAGTTGCTGCATTCTGGATTAGTTGCAGTTTCCGAGCCACCTTTCAAAGGGAGCACCATGGTAACAACAACAAGGGTAAGTGAAAGAAGCGAGGGGGGACCAGCAGCAATTTATCCGTTCATTTCATTTCATAAAAATATTATATGCCGCTTGATTGCAGAAAAAATAATAATCAGTGGTTATGTGAGTCTTGTGAAAGACCATCGTTTTTAAGAGAGCTGGAGTTGGAGCCGAACACAGCCTTCCCATAGAGTGCATAATAGCTTCTTTTGCCTCTGTGTCATCAGGACTGTATTTGCAGGATTATAATTTAGAAGTCTTCTTAAGTCTCCTCCTGGGACCTCAGCCCCATTCACACGAATCCCTGCTCCATTGTTCTTTGTAGACACCCCAACCTATGTCAGTCCAGCTATCCTACACTCAGGGCTATCTTTAGCATATGTGCCTCCATCGTGCAAAGATCTGCCCAGCGCCCCCAAATATAGTTTAGCCTCCAAATTAACTTTTATTATGCGTATGTCAGACACCACGCTTAAAATCTATTTTGGAATGTATTTCTAATTACTCCAAAATGTTTTTCTCGCTTGCCATTCGTCAGCTTACGGAATTCATAGTGTGTGCTCTAGGCGCGTTTTTGCGGAAATGGAAAACTAAAACCGTGTTGTGCTGAATCGCATGTGTAGCAGAGCCCTAAGTACTAGGTAGTTAGTCAAAGAAATTGCCAACAATTAGCAGAAATAAACACTATTTTAAAAAACTATTTCTCTAAACGAATTTGAACTGTAAGTGTTGAAATTAAAACACAATTTGCAATGTTTCACCCATGGCACCTTTGACATGACTGATCTCGTGCCGCCTGCCTGCCGCTGGCGTGAGATCAATTGTGTCAAAGGTACCACTGACCCCGCTGCCGCAGAGCAGCTCAATACAATATGTAACATAATATTAGGCGGCTTCAGTGGCAGGTGCCTGGCGCCCCCCAGAATTCGGCGCCCAGATGCCCTGCACCCCTTGTACCCCTGGGTAAAGGCGGCCCTGCTTACCCTTCTGACCAGCAGAGGCTGGTGCCCATCATTTCTGCTGGGCAAAATGCAGTGAAGCCAACAGTACATAGAGCAGAACCAACTAATTCCAGTTTTGCTTCCATACTTGTCCCAGCTGATTGCTTTAATGGCAACTCTGAAGAGAAAGCTGACAGCCAGAGCCACATCATGGACTGTATGTGGGAGGGCAGGCAGATGAGGGCTGGCTGAGAACAAACCAGAGTTGGTGGGGCACCATCCCATTTGCCCTAACGGACCAACAAAGACCCTTTTGGAATCTTCATTAAAACTCCACCAATATTTTTAACGTTTCCTTTTCTTACAATTCAGTTAAAAGACACACACACACACACACACACACACACACGATTTGCTAAACTCCCCACCTTTGGTTGTCATAAGGATTCTCCTGGGAAAATTTAAAAAAACCCCAAAAACCTAGCGATAAATATGCCCCTGTAAGAAGCAGTGTCCATGGGAGGAACATCTCTTACACTGGCAGGCAGCCTGTATAAAGAGGATATTTTCTTGAAATGTAGACAGCTCCAAGGAAAGTCACAGTAGCTGTAAAACACTGCAGAATAAATAAAGCTTCAGCTGTAGGTACACTTTGGAGGAGAGCAAGACAGGTACACTTAGTTCAACAGACCACAGACAGTGGCTTCTTCTTCTTCCCTTTCTGCAGGAGCTGTGCAAGTTTCAGGAGAGCAATTTAAGCTATAACAAGTAGTGACAAAATATCCTACGACAGCTCAATAAATATTGTTTTCCTCTCCTGTCATTCATGGATTGGTTTAACCTGAGAGCTTGCTCCAGAAGGCAAGAACCAGCTTCTCATTAATGAGAAGCAAAGTAATCTGGACTTTCCACCTCAAGTGGAAATAATTTTTTATTTTGAACGCTCATCGTTTTACTGGTCTATGGTGAAAGAGAGCCACTATCATTTGAACTGCTGTCACTTGCCAACATTTTTTCAACACTCAATACAGTGTGTATCCTAGAATATCAATGAGGGTGGTGTTGGGTGTTTTTGGTTTTTTTAACTTAAGAGCAGTTCTAACTTGAGTGGTTTTCTTTTCCTACAGATCTCCCAGTGAAGCATATGAGAGCAAGTAAAAATGCAGTGTGCAGAAGCAGTGCTGGCTGGTGCCTATTGAGACTGGTAGGGACTGGAAGGCAAGGAAAGCAACTGTCCATTCAGTCAGAGCCAATGACAGGCAGAGCCACCCCATTGCTGGTTCTAAGAAGGAAGGCAGGTGGGGGCTTGCTGAGGACAGACCTGAGGCTGGTGGAGCAGTGCTGCATCCAGGAGTACAGTTGCAAAGGGATACAAAATCTGGTCCCCCTCCCCTTAAAGCAGTAGCCTCTGGTACTGCCATCTAAGCAATGTCCTCTGGAACTGTGTTCAGGGCCGTCTTAAGCATACCCGGTGCCGTGGTGCAAAGATCCCTCCAGCGCCCCACCCCCCCATTTCCCAGAGTTATCAACCTTTTCTCAAGCCTCTGCGGGGATCGCTCTCCTCCCACGGGGGTTTGCGAAGGAAGCTGCATGCCCACCAGCCATATGGTTGGCGGGGCACAGCTTCCATCCTAAGCCTCTGCAGGGATCGCTCTCCTCCTGCGGAGGCTTGGGAGCCAAGCTGCACACCTGCCAGCCATATGGTTGACGGGGTGCAGCTGGTGGGCGTGCAGGAGGGAAAGGGGAGGCCGCCGGCAAAGCCGCACAGCTCCCCCACTCGCTGGGGTGCCCCTGAGAGGCCGGCGCCCTGGCGCAACGCACCAGTAAGCCCAATGGGAAAGACGGCTCTGCGTTTTAATTTATGTCATATAACTGAACTAGCTCTGTTCAGTAACAGTCTGGGTCTCTTGGGCACCTTTCTGTCTCGAGAGATAATGGATGCTGCGTTAACTGCACCAAAATAACCTCCCCAGGGCGAGTGTGCATGGAGGCAGGCCCGTCTTACCCATAGAGGCTAGTGGCGCCAGGGTGCCAAGTTCTGGAGGGCACCAGGCGAGAGTCCGGGGAACATGAATGAGAGTGCTGAGTGCGCCACTCCCGCCAAGCATCGGCTCGGTATTTTCCCTTTTAGTCTACAGGTGCCGAATTCTGTGGAGCGCCAGAAGGCTAAAAGGGAAAGAACCGAGCCGACGCTCAGTGGGAGTGGCACATGCGCCCTCGCTTGCTTGACGCAGGCCCGCTCGCTTGGTGTGCTGCCTGCTGTGGCCACCGCGGCACTAAGTGGCCAGTTGAGCCGGAAGGTCTTAGCCTCTGCCTCTTCCCTGTTGGAGGAGCCACCCTCCAGCTGCTGCCTGCCTCCTCCAGCTCTAAAAAAAGGTTGACAACTCTGGGAAGGGGGGGGTGCCAGAGGGATCTTTGCACCACGGCGCCGGATATGCTTAAGGTGGCCCTGCGTGGAGGTCCTGGGCTGCCCAGAAGATGACCCCCCTCTTGGCCTGGCCATAGGCGCCGACTCCATGGGGCTTGAGGGGGCCCGAGCCCCCTCAAAAATTCGTTTGGGGGGCTCCGCCCCCCCAATAATCTCCGGCGCCCCTCCAGCAGAGCGCCATCGCCGCCCCTCCCCCAGCCCAAAATGCACAGGGAGGGGCGGGCTGCATGCCTCCTGCCCTCCCTCCCGAGCAAAAGCTCCACCCAATTTCCTTTGGAGCTGATTAATAGGCGCAGCACGCTCTCCCCTATTCGCTCACGAGGAGGCGGCGCCACTTTATTTGCATATTCATGAGCTTATTTATTATTCATGAGCTTTCCCGGCCCCCCCCCAATATTTTTTATAAGTCCGCGTCCCTGGGCCTGGCTGATGTGGTCCAAAGGAAAGCAGAGCAATATGTTTGGCACCAGCTTGGTTGCAGGAGTTGCTGGAAAGAGGCACACAAGGCAACACCCAACTGCTTTAGGGATTCCACTTCGGATTTGTGTAGCGTTTACTCCTTAGCCTTTTCTTCTTCCAAAGATAATCTTCAAGGCAGCAGAGGTTTATGATCAGAGTTGTCCTTCTCCTTTCCAGGTGGACGTGCCCCATCTGCCCCTCACTTCCCTCTACAGCACGTGGAGAAACTGCCTTCTTGACTGCTGGACTGTTGGACTGCTTGCACCCCGGAAAGAGAGAAGTTTACTCCATGCGGAAGATACATATTTGACATCCAAGATGCATAGTTTCAGGTCCTACCCTAATGTTTTGTTGTAAACTGATTTAACTATTTTTAAATTGCTGGAGCCCGTACAAAGATGAATTGAATTCATCAGTGGCGGCCAGCCCTTTGGCTATAATATATCTCAAGGAAGCAAGATCAACAACA